ACCCTAGCACCCGATGACAGTTGCAAGCTGTTTTCTCTGGTGCTTTGAGTGCTGTGTACTGGGCAGTGGAGAGATGGCCAGAGCGTACTAACGCCACTGCCCTATCATCTTCACTGTTCTGGGGCAGGATTTTCAGCAATACATCTCTCTGGTTTGTGTGCTACCAGAGGGCATGGGGGCCGGCTGAGCCTTGGTCTCCCTTGCCTGCTTGCTCTTGGCCGCATCCCCAGCTGCTGCCAGGGCCCTGGGCCCTGTGGAATGCCTTTCAGTCCAGCCACTGCTCTGAGGCTGGGCAACCCGCCCTTTTGTAGAGCTGCAAACATTCACTCACCCATGCAGGATTAGCATGGCCCTTGTTACTGCTCTCTGGGAAACCTTTGTGCCACTGCTGGAGGTAGCACAAGGCTGAGAGCCCTGACAACTCAGTTTAGGAGACTCGAACACCGCCTCCCCCTCCTCACCCCCAGGCCTTGCCCTTGCCCCTTCCCCCACTGGCTGCAGGGTTTCTGGAGATCACTGTTCTGCTTTTCTTTTTCCAATGCACCCACCTGGGTACCAGCCTGTTTGAATCACCCTTGGGGCAGTGCAGAGGTGTAAGGACCTGCGCGTGTGTTAGCAGGGAGGTAGCATCTGGAGTGTTCTTCCTCAGAGACCAGGGCCAGAGGAAAGAGATTTAAATACGAGCTATTGGTGGTGGCCAGAAGTCAGCCAGCAGAAGGAGGCAGGAGAGCCACAGAGAGGGGCAAGGTGGTACTCAAAGAGATGCGGGAGGGTGGCAGCTGACTCTCCTTCTGTGGAACGGGTTCAGCAGAGAGACGACGAGCAGCGGTGCACAGACCTCAGTGCTGCAGTGAGTGCTGAGCCGCTTGCTCTGTGTGCCTTTGCAGATGGCTTTGCCTCTCTGTGCCTCAGTTTCCTGCTGTCTGAAATGAGGACAAGAGTAGCATTCCTTCTGGGGTTTTTAAAAGGATTAAATGCTCATAAATGAAGAACTCTGAGAAAGGATGTTAGCTAACATGTCACTGTTACGAGTTCCAGACACTGTAGAAGAGGGAAATCTGCATTTTAGTGATGGTAGCATCATCTTTACTGGAGTTACTGACTGATGATAATTCCACGGACTTGTATCTTTCCTTTTCTTCAGTTGCACGTCTGCTGATGATGGTGTTAATGCTCAGTGAAACAGAAGCCAGGTGGGCAGAAAGAACCAGTAAAGAAAAGGGCCAGAGTGATTCCTGAGTTCTGATTGCTCTCTAAATCGTCATGATGAGTTTTCAGGATTCAAATCAATATGGGGCACGTACATATCAGATAACTGCCAAAGAGCAAGAATATGGTCTAAAGACGTGTAATTCAGCCTTCTCATTGGTGGGACGAACCACCTGACATGTATAACTTAAAGGAGGAAATAGTTTATGGAGCGCATGGTTTCAGAGGTTCCAGTCCATGGTTTCCTGGCTCACTTCATGGCAACCAAGAAGCAGAGAAAAAGAAAGAGCACCAGAGAGTAAGGGTCAGAGATCAGATCTACTCCTCAAGGTCATACCATCTGCAACCCACCTACACACACCCAGAGGTGTGTGTCACTGTGTCTCTCAAGCCAATTGTGGTTGACAGTCAAGTCACAGAAAGTTAAAGCTAAGTAACAAAATATAACAGATCAGTCTTTAAATTCAGCCCATCACCTCAGCAACACAAGGGTCCAGTTGCCAAAATGACATCCCTTTTGAAAGTTATCCACACATTTCAAACCAAGTGACCAAAGTAGAACTCCTTCTCTTCTTCTGCACCCCACAAAACCTGCCTTTCTGCCTTTGTTTTCTACGTGTAAAACATAACATAGGACCAGTTACTCAAGCCAGAAACATCAAGGTACATTAATTTTTTACAGCCTCTGCCTCACACCTGTTGGTGTATGTGTGCCTTGTAAATAACCTGTTAATTCAGTGCATCTTCTCTTTATCCACTGATTCTATATGCATCTGTAGGTATTGCTGTGTAACAACCCAGACTCATTGCTTGAAACAACAGTTATTTGTTACTTCCCATGTGTCTTGGATCAGTTAATCTAGACCCAGTCACAACTGGGTTAGTCTTACCATATGCCTTTGTTTGATCTAGCATGGACTCAGCTAAGCTAGCTCTACTCCATATATCTCACCCTCTTCCCCAGGCCAGTGGGATAGCTCAAGCCTGTTCTCATAGAAATGTCACAAGCATGAGGAGGCAAGCCAGAACACACGTCCAGCTCACTTTCTACTGACTAAGCATCACACATCCAGTGGGAAGAACTACAGAGTCATTTCACAGAGAGCAAGTACATAGAGTAGGACAAAAAAACCAAGGCCCGTAATGCAAACTATACCAAGTCCTTGTTATCCCTTGCCTTAACTCTTCACTAATCCTCTAATTCCTCCTTTCCTGTAGTCAACCTCCTCCTGACTTGAGGCTGACATTCCTGCATGAAAACCTTTCATCACCTATGAAATTGAGCTCAAATCCTTGGTTTCATTTTTTTTCCAGTTGCATCTGTTGCCATGTTTCAGAATCATTCATCACCCCCTTCCAAATGTGCTTGTTTTTGCACGGTTCTGTGCCTTCATAAATAGTCTCCCTCTCCTGCTGCAGCAATCCCTCCCACATTTGAGGTTATTCTAAGTGAGATATTTACCCATCGAGACCCAGTTCATCTGGTACCTCCTCCAGAAAACCTTCTCAGAAGCACTAGAGACAGAGTTATTCCTTCCTTTGTTACATGGTAGTAAACCCAAATTGCATTGTGCTCATATTTAACTCTCACAAATTCAGGAAAACATGCTCAGCCAGAGGGAGGGAAGGAGACAGAACAGACAGTCGGACTAACTCTACCTGTCATTGTACTCCATGACTGCAAGAGAACTGGGACCACGTTAGTCATCCTTAAGATCCACAGCCTTTCAACTCCTGAAAGCCTCTTATACAATGAAGGTTTGGTTTGTGGGGTGGAGCTTTAGTGTCTATCAAGAAGCACACTATTCCGTTGTGCCCGCCCTTGCAGCAGCTGGCTGTTTCATATGGTGTCCAGACAAAGCGGCATTTGCACATCTGGTTGGGTTGTCTTGTTGCAGGTCAGTGCCATCTGGTGCTTTGCTGGAAATTGAGGGGACTTTCAGTGGTAATACTGCCTATGGCAATCCTCACCTCATGGTAACTTTAGAACCGAACCTCCACCCCAAGATGCTTTGTGTTGCAGCCCTCATAGACATGTAGCAGATTAAATTTTAATTTTTTATAGCTGTGTTTCAGGAAATCCTCCCCGTGGCTTATGGTTAAAATGCTGCTACCTTTCTTTGTACAGTTCATGTATGCTGCAAAGAACACTGTTCATGCTAAAGTCTATGTAAACAGACTCCCTAGTCCTCAGTGGCGCCAGCTTCTTATCTCCCTAGTACCTTGTATGTATTGACTGCTGAAGGAAAGAGTGAATGAGAAGGAAGTCAATAATATCCAGCTGTGTGGATTGGGGTGAAAATTCAGACAAGTTTTTGTTTGTTTATTATTCTTGTTTTTGTATTACTGGGGATTGAACTCAGGGCCTTTGCAGTGAACTACATCCCCAGCATTTTTTTTTAACTTTTTATTTTGAGACAGGCTCTCACTAAGTCACTGAGTTGCCCAGGCTGAGCTCAAACTTGCAGTCCTCCTGCCTCAGCCTCAAGGAGTGCTGGGATTACAGGTGTGTGCCACCCTGACTGGTTCAAATAAATTTTGGTCTAACAAACTAAAGCCATGCTAGTGTAGGTGCACATGGTAAAATGGATTCATGGGCCCACAGGAAATGTCTTGTTTACCTACACAAGAAAACACCTTTTATTTGGGGAACTGACAGAGGTTATGGTTCCTAAAAGGACATCACTCTTCTCAGAAATTATTGTGCACTGATCATTGTAGACCTAACACTTCTAGTGAACATTGTGGGGCACACATGGAAAGAAAAGTCTAGATGGTGAAAGAATCCAGTATTGTCTCCCCTGTCACACTTGGCCTAAAGATGTCTTGGTTCCATTAGATTCACCATAGAATTTAGATAAAGGCAAACAGAGCATCTTTTGAGATAGGCCACTGTGGCCAGCCAACTGCGTCAGCCCATGAGACGATGTTGCCAAGTCAAACAGCCAGCTTCACACTTGGCATTAGGTGCTCCCAGATGTTCTGCCTGCCAGAGAACACGGGGAGGGTGCCCGGCCCATTCAGGATCTGTGAGCTTCGGGGGGACTCACCCAGCCTGATCTGGCAGTCATGGCCTCACTGTGCTTCCCCACTCATACCCTCTGTCCCGGTAAGCTGCAGCAGGCACTAAGAACATGGCACTTGTCTTGGGCTGTTCTTCCCTGTATCTCAGCAACAATCTCAGCCAGCCTCCGTCTTCCCGACAGGGAGAAGCTGTGGGCATGACAGCCTCACTTGTGAGTTAGCATGAGCTCCCAGAGGCAAGCACGTGTCCCTGCTCTCCACGTAGCCCCCGAGGGAGTCCCTGCATGTCTCTTCAATGAATGGGCAAATAAACCAGTGAGATAAGCAAACCAGAGGGTGCCGTAGTGTTGGGAACTTTAACGGGGTAAGGCACTGTTCATTTTAGGCAACACTAAGTGGCCTGCCGGTGTTACCACGGCATCTTCTCTCATTGGCCTGTTATCCCTTCCAAAGTAGAGGCTGGACGTTCTGTTGTCTAATAAACAGTGCACTCAACCTGATGAAATGCAGAGCCAATGTTTTCCTAACACCGTGCAGCTTGGGAACCGGTTCTGGCAATTGCCCTCTCTTCTCTGGATGTTTGATGCAACCATAGTAGTTTTTATATGTAAACCTGAGGCCAGAAAATCATAGGTCATGGATTAAGTCCAGTTAGAACTTTGCTTGCTTCCTGCCAAGTGCATGGCATCACTGGTCACTTCATGAAATAATCACCATTTTATCTATCCATTCATTCAATTCGTTTATTGTTCTTTCTGTGCCCACAGGTGAGCTTTCCCTAGAAGAGGCCCAAGACCCTTTCCTGGTGAGCATCCACATCATCGCAGACCCAGGCCAGGCCCAGCCGCTGCAGGAGGCTATCGACAAGGTCTTGGCTTGGATCCACCCTGACCTTCCGCTGTTCCGCGTGTCGGAGAGGCGAGTGGGCCGCAGGCGGCGGAAGACCCCCAAAGGCGCACAGCCGGCGCTGGCCGTGGTGCTGTTCCTGCAGGAGGAGTACGGGGAGGAGCAGATCCTCCAGCTGCACCGCACGCTGCAGCGCCCGCCCTGGCGCCACCACCACACAGAGCGCGTGCACGGCCGGTTCCTGCCCTACCTGCCCTGCAGCCAGGACTTCTTCACCCTGGCCCCCGGGACCCCGCTGTGGGCCATCCGGCCTGTGCACTACGGCAAGGAGATCGTGCGCTTCACCATCTACTGTCGCCACGACAGCTATGCAGACAGCCTTCGGTTCTACGAGCTGATCCTGCGCCGGAGCCCCAGTCAGAGGAAAGCGGACTTCTGCATCTTTCCCATTTTCTCCAATCTGGATGTGGACATCCAGTTCTCCCTGAAAAGACTGCCATGTGATCAGAGCCCGGTGCCCACCGACTCCTCCGTGCTGGAGTTCCGAGTGAAGGACATTGGGGAGCTGGTGCCTCTCCTGCCCAACCCCTGTAGCCCCATCAGTGAGGGGCGCTGGCAGACAGAGGACCACGACGGCAACAAGATCCTTCTGCAGGTACTTGGGCTGTCTGTCTGTCCGTCTGTCTGTCTGTCGGAAGGACAAAGCAAGTCAATTAGTTGTACTGGAAAGCCTCCTACCTGTTGCTGAGCAATGGTCCAAAAAAGATTAGTGGCCCTGTCCATCCCAAACCCGGTCAAGGTCTGCACATATTCCATCCAACAAAAGAGGAGGCAGAAAGGCTTCTCCCAGCAGTACTTTACATCCTGTTGTCGTGGCACCGCGCCTTAGCAAATATGTGTCTAGTTCTTCTAGGTACCAAGTCTGTCCCCCCGACCACCCATGGCTCCTGGAGGTGTCATACAAGCTCCTAACCTAGGGAACTTGTTATTAAAGATTCCTGACTCTGGTCCCTCACTCTTGTAAGTTTTTAACCTGTGCTTTTCAGTCCTACAAAGGAACTCCAGGAAAGCCCACGTTTAAAAATTGTAAAGCTTAGTGACATTCCGTAGAGAAGACATCTGTCCCCTCCCCTCTATTCCCTTTCCCTGCCTTTTGCCCTTTCCCTGCTGCTCTCCCTGCTGGCATACAATATTGAAATTCTGTTGTCCCTTGGAAAGTGATGCCCTTATAAAGATTTGAAAGAGAAAGATGCCTGTAGAGCTTGTGGATTCACTCAGCTAGGAAAGGTGAGTGAATACATCTTAAATACAGAAGACTGGCCCAGTCTTCCAGTGCTGGCCTTCCACCACTCGTACCTTGGCACTACCGGCCCCCTTTCTTCTCTGACCATCTCTGAAAGGTCCTGGGATGTCCTGGACTCGTTAGAGATAGCATTATACTCTAGAATTAAAAATTCACCCTGGCAAGTAAAGTATATTCTAAACCTGCCCTTGTCAGATGATGCTTTCCAATGCAGGCATTCTCTAATTAACAGGTAAGTTAGTTGCGGGTGTGTGGGGCTTTGTTATTCTGAAAAGCCTGTGTCGAGCGTCCTAGTTTTCATGTTTGGCTACTTGAAGAGAGAAAACTGATAGACAATTGGGGAGCATTTCCTCAAGAGATGCTGACCATGGTTATAGGAATCACAAGTAAAGTTTCAGTTTTTGTTGGTTTGGGCTCCAATTTCCCCAATTTTAATTCCAGTATGATGAGATGAAATGAGAACTTGGCACATTCCTGATAACTGGCCCAAACCGAAGCCAGGCACATTGCTCCAGTCAGAAGGGTCACCTGGAGATACCCATTCATGGGAACCACATCATTTCCAGACTTCCTTTTGAAGAAACTAAATAATGCTGCTTTATTGTTCAGTAAACAGAGCACTAGCATTTACTCTATAATCCCCTTTGAAATGCAAGAAAATTTTTCTTCTTCATCTAATGACTACCAGTTCCTTATGCAAAGGAACTGGCAGTTGCACCAAGTAAAAGTTAATGAAATGCAAAAAAAATTATATTTATACTAAAAGATCAAAATGAATATGATTATTTCTGAAGTGACTTCCTCTTCTCAGTAATGAGAAGACTTTTTTGTCTTGATCCTTCTAATAACATAAATGAAAGAACAAAGTATGAAAGCCTGGCTTGAGCGCTGCTCAAAAGAAACATTTAAAGACTATTTCAAAGACCTACACACTTAAATGATTCTAAAGTCTGGACAGGTGCAGGCTCTTGAAGTTAGGGAGATCCACAATAGAGAAAAGAGATTGTGTCTGGGGACTCAGGATTGCAGACCTTTGTTGAGTAATACTAGGTTCAATTAATAGGAAGAGAAATGGAAAGTATCCCCCTCATGCCTCTGGATAATGATGATTTGAACAGGCTGCTGCTCATCCTCACTGCTGTGGAGAGCATCCTTGTGCTTTACTCTGAGATATGCACCTGTCCATCTCTTTAAGTTATTTGTTGAAGTAAAAATTTATATGTCAGTATTCAGATCACAGGGGAACGGTAGTGCAGAGAAGACGATTGTGTACACATTTTCTACAGCAATACCATATCTGTTCCCTAAGTCTATTCTCAGTTATAAATATTAAGATTGTTTTTTGTTAAAACTGGTGCAGTTATACACTGAAGACATCCTTGTGTAGTTTTCAGTTGCCTAGTTAAAATGGAGACTGCATTCTGCTTTCTCACTCTGCTCCACGATCTTCACATTCTGCATATCAGAGACCTTCTCCTCCCCTTTTAATTCCTTTGGAAGAGAAAAACAGATTTCTTTTTCTGAAAGCCATTCGTCCCCTTATAAGAATTAGGAGATAAGACTCAAATCCACACAATTGGGAATGAAAAGGGTGAAATCACAACAAACCTTGCAGAAATCCAGAAGATCACCTACACCTACTTTGAAAACTTGTATTCTAATAAGATAGAAAATGCAGGAGAAATTGACAATTCCTAGATACATATTGAATTACCAAAACTGAACCAAAAAGATATAAAAATCCTAAATAAACAAATATTAATCAGTGAAATCAAAGATGTAATGAAACACCTATCAACAAAGAAAAGCCCAGGCCCTAACAGATTCGCGGCTGAATTCAACAAGAAATTTAGCTGGGCGTGGTGATGCACACCTGTAATCCCAGCACTTGGGAGGCTGAAGCAGGAGGATTCGTTGAGAGTTTGAGACCAGCGTGGGCTACAAAGAGAACTCAAGGCCATCCTGAACTGCATAGTGAGACTCTGTCTCAAAAAGACAAAAAAAAAAAAGAAATTTAGAGAAGATCTAACACAACTACTTCTCAAACTCTTTAATGAAATTGAAAGGGAAGCAATACTCTCAAATTCAGGCCTGGAAGCAAGCATTATTACCCTGATACCAACACCAGAGAAGGACCCAACTAAGAAAGAGAACTACAGGCTAATCTCCCTAATGAACATAGATGCAAGAATTCTCAATAAGATACCAACAGAATGCAGCAAATCATTAAAAATATTATATACCATGCTCAAGTGGGATTCATCCCAGGGATGCAGGGATGGTTCAACATGCATAAGTCAATAAATATAATGCACCATATCAACAAAACCAAGGACAAAATCATATGATCATCTCAATACATGCAGAAAAAGCTTTTGACAAAGTTTAACATCCATTCATGATGAAAACCCTACAGAAAATTGGAATAGATGGTCTTTATCTCAATCTGATCAAAGCTATCTATGACAAACCAACAGCCAACATCATACTAAAGGACAAAAACTGAAAGCTTTTGCTCTAAAATCAGGAACAGGACAAAGAGGTCCACTGTCTCCACTGTTATTCAACATAGTCCTGGAAACTTCAGCCAGAGCAATTAGACAAAAGAAGGAAATAAAAGAAATAAGGATAGGAAAGGAAGAAGTTAAATTATCATTATTTGCAGATGACGTGATACTCTACCTAGAAGACCCCAAAAACTCCACTAAAAAACTGCTAGAGTTATTAAGCAGATTCAGTAGCATATATGTATACAGTCAGCACTCAACAATCAACAGACTTCCTGCACATGAATGACAAACTCACTGAGGGAGAAATTAGGGAAGCAACACCTTTCACAATAGCATCCAAAAAAATGAGATACCTAGGAGTAAGTCCAACAAAGGATGTAAAAGATCTCTACATTGAAAAGTACAGTACTGTGAAAAAGGAGACTGAAGAGGATATCAGAGAACGGAAAGACATTCCTTGCTCTTGGGTAAGAAGAACCAGTATTGTGAATGTGGCCATACTTCCAAAACTGTTATACAGATTAATGCAATTCTGATCAAAATTCCAACAGCAGATCTCACAGAATTAGAGAAAACAGTCTAACGGTCATTTGGAATCAGCAGAGACCTAGAATAGCAAAGGCAATTTTGGGCAACAAAAGGCAAGGCAAGGGATATCACAATCCCTGACTTGAAGTTATACTTTAAAGGTAGGGTGATAAAAACAGCATGGCACTGGCCAAAAAAAAACAGACCCAAAGATCAGTGGAACAGATTAGATGCTGAAACAACTTCAGCCACCTCATCTTTGACAAAGATGCCAAATACATTCATTGGAAGAAAGACAGCCTCTTTAATAAATGGTGCTGGAAAACTGGCTGTCCACATGCTGATGATCAAAATTGGGCCCATATCTTTCACCATTCACTCAAGTGAATTTGAAATGGGTCAAAGATGTAAACATTAAAACACAAACATTAAATCTGCTGGAAGATAGAATAGGTAAAACTTCTAAAGATATTGGTGTAGGCAAAGACTTTATGAATAAAAGCCCGATCACACTGGAACTATCATAAAGAATCAACAACTGGGATCTCATCATATGGAAAAGCTCTTGCACAGTAAGAGGAACCACTAACAGAATGAAGAGACAACCCAGTGTGGGAAAAAAAATGTTTGCCAGCTGTTCCTAGAACAAAGGATTATGATCGAGAACATATAAAGAACTCAAAAAATTCAGACCTCCCAAATGTAAAGATCCAATCCAAAAATGGGCATCTGAGATGAATACACACTTCTCAGATGAAGGAATACAAACAGCAAATAAACATAATGAAAAATGTTCAGCATCACTGGTCATTCGAGAGATGAAAATTAAAACAATGCTGAGATTCCATCTTACCCTGGAAAAAATGGCTATCATCAAGAAATCAACCAATAACAAAAGCTGGCTGGGCTGTGGGGGAAAAGGAACCCTTCTCCACTGTCGGTGGGAGTGTAGACTGGTGCAACCACTGTGGAAATCAGTGTGGAGACTCCTCAAAAAACTAGGATTGGACGTTCCATTGATCCAGCTATTTCCCTTCTGGGTATTTTCCCAGAAGAATAAAACATTGTACTACAGTGATATATGTGCACCCATGTTTATAGTAACACAATTTGTAATTGCTAAATCTTGGAAACAACCCAAACTCCCATCAACCAAGGAACGGATAAAAAAGATACATTATTTTTATGCAATAGAGTACTACTCAACCATAAAGAAGGACAAACTGGGGACTTTTATAGGTAAATGGAGGCAACTCAACACCATACTCAAAAGTGAAATAAACCAGACACACATGTGCAAACATCGTATTGTCT